TACTTAGCTTCATGTTAGTTTTAATGGTATTATGATTTAGCATGTTATAGTTGATATAATATTTTACTGTGAGTTAATAAATGAATTGATGAAACAGTAGATTTTGTTTAAATTGGAGTGAATTAGGTTTGTTTGGTTTGGACTTTCAGTAGGTTTGAAATTGGCGTAATTCTACATTTAGACTAGAATAGTTTTGTTTTCTTTCTTAGTTGATTGCTTGATGGTCTACAATGACGATGAGTAAGATGGGGTTCGCACTTTTCAATTCATGAACAACGTAGTTTTTTTTAGGCGCACAATTAAATTATTATAACTACGGGTATGATTTCCGTGAAGTGGTTGTGATACCTAATTTTAAATTAGATTAAAGTAGGAGCATCTTTAGTTTGCCTTAGAAAAAATACAAATCTTTTCTTAAAATAATTTGAGGTGTGCCATACGCAAATAAAATCCATAACCTATGGCCCTCACATTAATATTAACTTAGTATAGAAAAACACATTCTTAAACATTCGTAGTTTACTTTAGGCGCGTTTATAATAAAATCATCATAGCTACGGGTACGATTCCTGTGACGTAGTTGTGATAACTAATTTCCAAATCCGGGGGTACATTTATGTGACCCGGCCACAACTTCTAATATTCTAATAAATTAAACATGTTGTAGATCGTGGGTACGGTTCCCGTGACACGAATCGTAATGTGTATCAAACAAACAAGTGTACGACAATCGTAACTTGTTCCAGAATAATTCCATAAAATAATTAAAAGCGGTTTTTAAAGTCTAAAAATGCACACACTAGGTTTAAAACATGTTGTGAATCAGATAATAGGCCAATATTAATAGTTTAAGCAACCGTGCTAGAACCACGGAACCCGGAAATGCCTAACACCTTCTTCCGGGTTAACAGAATTCCTTACTTAGAATTTTTGGTTTCGCAAACTTTTAAATTAAGTCAAAATTCTCCTCGATTTGGGATTTTAAAATAAACCGGTGACTTGGGACACCAAATAAATTATTCCAAGTGGCGACTCTGATAAATTAAATAAAATAATCTCATTTCGAATAATGTCACTTTAATTAAAAAAACTCCCTTATATCATCCCCTATCGGGGTGGTAAAAAAGGAAATGTGACACTTAACTAAGCTGTGGTAGCACGGGTAGGTGCTCAAGGTGTTAAACAATGATTTCGGACAACTCCGGTGCAGTTCTCAGCACGTTCGAGGACGAACGTATGTATAAGTGGGAGAGAATGTAACGACCCGACCGGTCGTTTTGAGCTCTAGCGCGTCGTTCAGTGGTTTGAAGCCCTCAGTAGCTTCACTTCAGGTATTATGACTTGTACGCATGGTCGGAATTGAATTCCAGGAAGTTCGGAGTTGATTTAGAAAGAGAATTCTTATTTCGGAAGCTTTAAGTTGAAAGAATTGACTAATATTGGATTTTTGAGTAAACGACCTCAGAATCGGAATTCGAAGGTTCCAGCAGGTTTGTATGATGATTTTGGACTTGGGCGTATGTCCGGGTCGGATTTTGGAAGACCCGGAAACGTTTCGGCACATGTTGTGGAAGTTAGCATTGTTGGAGGAATTTCATAAGTTTGGGATGAAGTGCATTTCTGTGTTATCAATGTCCGTTTGGGATTCCGAGTCTAGGAATAGCTCCGTATGGTGATTCCAATATTGGGAGCGTGATCGGAAGTGAATTCGGAAGTCTGTAGGTCGTTTTGGAGTCATTTGGCCAAAGATAGAAATTTAAAGGTTTTTGAGAAGTTGGACCGGAAGTGGACATTTTTATATGGAGTAGGTCCGTAATGTCAAATATGACTTGTGTGCAAAATTTGAGATCAATCGGATGAGATTTGATAGGTTTCAGCATCGAATGTAGAAGTTTGGAATTCTAAAGTTCATTAAGCTTGGATTGGAGGTCGATTCATGATTTTAGCGTTGTTTGATATGATTTGAGGCCACGAGCAAGCTCGTAATGTGTTTTGGGACTGACTGGTGTGAATGGACGGGGTCCCGGGGGCCCCGGGTGGATTTCGGGTGGTTAACTGATCAATTTTGGAATTTGAAAAAGAAGTGATCAGCTGCCTTCTGGTGTAACCGCACCTGCGAGGCTTGGGCCGCAGGTGCGGAGCCGCAGAAGCGGAACATGACCGCCCAGGTGAAGGACCGCAGGTGCGGGGCATTGACCGCATCTGCGCAAGCGCAGAAGCGAGATGGAAGACTGCAGAAACGGTAATTGGCGGGGGTGCGATGGAGGCTCCGCACTAGCGGACTCGCCGCGATAAGTCCGCAGGTGCGGAAGTTGCATACATTAAAATAGCGGGGTTTAGCCATTTCTGCTCATTTTTCTCTATTTTTGGGCGATTTTGGAGCTTCTTGAGAGGGGCTTCTACCTAGCAACTTGGAGGTAAGTTAATCCTACCTATTATGAGTTAAATACATTGATTATGTGTAGATTTTAACATGGAAATTAGTGGAAAACTTGGGGTTGAGGGAAAAACCTAGAATATTGGTATTTTTTTATTTTGACCACGATTTTGGACATGAAATTAAGGGTAAATTATATATTTGAGTTTGTGAGGTTATGGGTAAAGTTTATCTTCGAAAAATTTCGAAATCCGGGCACGTGGGCCCGAAGGCGATTTTGTCAACTTTTCGGTCGGGGTTAGGAATTGTAATAAATTATATTATAATGAGTAGTTGATCTCATATTAATGGATTTACATAATTATTGGCTAGTGTTGGAGCCTTTTGCATCGATTTGAGTCTTCGGAAGGGCGTGGATTGCCGGTTATGGAACTTCGGGGCGAGGTGAGTCTCCTTTCTATTCTTGTAAGAGGGAATTATCCCCAAAGGTGAATTAATTGAATATGTGCTGCTAATTGTGGGGGCTACGTACGCACGAGGTGACGAGAGTCCGTGCGTAGCTACTATTATGCTTATGTCCAGGTAGTCTAGGACCCAAAAGCATGCTTACTTGTAATAAATGCAACCTTAATGATAGTATAAATTGCTTAAATCATATCGTAGTGGCAAATGATTTTCTAAAAGAGTTAAAATTCATTTTTTTGGCTTGTAAAAAAAAGGAAAATTTACACCTCCTTGAATAATTGTTTTCTTGATGAATGTCTTGATTAACTGTTTGAATATGTATTTCTATGTGTACCTGCGTCGCATGTATGATTCGCGAGAAGGATCATTGTTTATTTATATTTGACCGTGTCACATGTATGATTCGCGAGCGGGTTAATAGATGCATCTATGGTTCACGCCATTCGACCCTCTGGTAGTGCACAGTTTAAATATTGTTAGATCGGGCCATACGTCATCGGCATGATTTGCGCATGCTTGTATTGCTTACCTTAAAATTTATTGAAGTTGATATTGCTTCTTCCCAGCTTGAGAATATATGTATAAATGATAAAAAAGGTAATTTGGGAATTTCATATAAAAGAAAGAATTGTTTACTTGTTTCACTCTATTGAATTACAATGATGTTTATATAAATCCTCGATTTGTCATATTATTGATGTACCATTATTGGACCACTAGTAAGTGTCGAAGTCGACCTCTCGTCTCTACTTCTTCGAGATTAGGCGGGATACTTACTGAGTACACGTTGTTTTCGTACTCACGCTACACTTCCTGTGCATTTTTGTTGCACAGGCACATGCATTTTTAGCGGCCTAATGGGCGTAACAGCATGGTATACAGTTACTTAGGTGAGCTGCACTTCTCGAGACGACCCGCAGCAAACAGAGTCTCTATCAAAGTGGGCCTATTTATTTGTTTAAATTTTTTATCTAATACTTCAAATTAATCTAACAAACTAAAACATTAAGCATAATAAGTCTAGTAATTTTAAAATAACACAAATTATCTCAAATCAACTTAAAATCTTAAATTCGAATGTCTGGAGAACGCAAGACCACTCTTTATACGCCTCCTTAAATAGCCCGTGCCTCCAACTTTGGACGGTGAGTGTAGACTCGACCACAGTTCTTGCACTTTATTATGTAAATTTCTTCATTTTCTTCTACCACATTAAAGTGTTCCAAAATAAATGGGTGCAATCTAGAATCACCGGGCATGATTTAACTTGAATTAAGAATTTGAGTTTGAGAAATGAGAGATGAATGAAGACTTGAATACTTCAATTTGAGTTTGAGAAATGAGAAAGATTGATGATTTTGTGAGAAAAATAAAAGAATGAGGGGGTATTTATAGTTGAAAATAGGGAAAGAGTGTAATTATAGAAAGTTTGAGGTTAAAACAAAAGGGGGTTGGTTAAATGGCTATTTTAGAAAGCCCAAACGGCTATTTTTGCAGGCCAACGACCATTTTTTAAATGTTGCAACGGCTAAAAGAATTTTGGATTTTGGATTTTTTTTTTTTAAAATTAGCCGTTAGACCCGTTTAGGACCGGTTGAAACCGGTCCACTTAGGACCCGGTCCCGGGCCCAAACGGTCCCGGTCCTAACGGGCAAGTTACAAAGCTGGATGGTCTTTTGGTTCCCGGTACGTAGCCTCCTCCTCGGCTCGAGTTGTCCGCTCGGGTACACCAAGTCTAGAACAATATACCCAGGTTTTAAACTTAGAGTAACTCAGCCTCATGCCGGATCCCTAGTAGAAACGTTTGTTTGCATCATGTGCATTTGACTTAGGGGACTCAACACAAGGGTTGGATCCGTCTAGGACAGGTGGACCTCAGAATCAAAAGACCATCCTGATGCATTTTTTACGTGCTACTTGTACAATTATTTGCTTCGGTTTGCATGTTGACCGGTTGCCAAAATAGGGAGAAAATTGGGAAAAATAAAATTGAGGTATGAGAGAGATAATTACCCGCCGTTGAAAAAACCTGGTGTCCAAAATATGACGAAACTCTGCCAAAATTTTTTAAAAAAAAAAAGAGAAAAAAAAAGAGAAAAAAAAAAGAGGGAAAAAGAAATTGGTTTCAAAAGTTTCATTTCTTTTCTTCTCACAGGTTAGAGAGAGAGAGTGACGAACAACACCGTCGAACAATGTCGAAGCGAGGACGTGGAGGTTCTGCTGGGAACAAGTTCAGGATGTCACTGGGTTTGCCGGTGGCGGCAACTATTAACTGTGCCGATAACACTGGTGCAAAGAACCTTTACATCATTTCGGTGAAGGGTATCAAGGGAAGGCTGAACAGGTTGCCTTCAGCTTGTGTGGGTGACATGGTTATGGCCACTGTGAAGAAGGGTAAGCCTGATCTCAGGAAGAAGGTTATGCCTGCTGTTGTTGTTCGTCAGCGCAAGCCGTGGCGCCGAAAGGACGGTGTTTTCATGTACTTTGAAGATAATGCTGGTGTAATTGTGAATCCCAAGGGTGAAATGAAGGGATCTGCCATTACTGGTCCCATCGGGAAAGAGTGTGCTGATCTTTGGCCAAGGATTGCAAGTGCTGCCAATGCTATCGTTTAGTTTGAGAATTGTGTTTTCCAATAGTTTATTTGAGTTTTTGAATATCAGGGAGTTCTTTTCTTGGTAAGAATTATTAGTGCAACTGGCTATGAGAATTTTGCTGTACTCCAAAAAGAAAATGTCTTTTCTTTATTTTTATTATGACAAAGCTGATCGAACTACGCGGTTCTGATTCTCACCGGATGTGAGATACGTAGGCAAATCTCATCGGTTCCGGCCCACAATTTTTTTTTTAAAAAAAAAAATTCCAAAATATTTTCCTTTCTTCCTTATTTAGAAAAGTCTTTCTTTAAAACCCCAATTTTCAAAAAGTCTAAAAATATTTTCTTTTAGTTCTTTCTTTAGAAATCTTTCATTAGAAAACTCAAAAAAAAAAGAAGAAGTTTTTAAACTCAAAAATAGTTTCCTTCTTTGTGAAGTCTTTCATATGGAAAAAGAAGTAAAAGAAAAATCAAAAATAATAAAAATCCTAAATACGGGTTTCCTTTATTTTGAAGTGTTTTTCCAAAAATTAAAAAAAAAACCAAAAAAGAAAGAAGAATCCAAAAAAGGGAAATATTTTTTTTCTCCTTCTTCAAAAGTATTTCTTTCGTAAATGTCACGACCCCAAACTGGACCCGGTCGTGATGGCGCCTTTCGTGAAGACAAGGCCAGCCGACACAATTTCCCAAGTCAACCATTTTCCATTTAAAGTTGTTTTTATGCCATTTATAAACCATTAATCTCATAATGAATATTTAAAAGCAAAATGCGGAATAATTACACAAGCCCGACATCGGGGTCTCACTAGTCATGAGCATCTACCAATGTCTGAATACAACAAAAAAAAACAGTAAAATGTACTAAGTACAGAAATGAAAATGAGAGGAAGGAAGCGGTAATGCAAACATCGTACAACCACCTTGCTAACTCTAATGACTCCGCGTCTGAGCAACCAACACCCGCTACCGGGTTTCGAAATACCTGAATCTGCACACGAGGTGCAGGAAGTAATGTGAGTACTCCAACCCAGTAAGTAATAAGAGTAAATAAAGACTGAGCAGTAGGAAACAATGAATTCCACATTTATGTTAAACTCAATAAGCACACAGGCTGCTAGATCAGAATACGAGTCAATCACCTCTTTTAAAATCCAGCTTTTGGGTAAAAAATCATTTAAAATGCCTTCCGACAGATTCAGTAGGGGTTCAATACTATTGTTAATAAAAGAACTGAAAAACCATAATCGGCGCCTCGGGCAAAACATAGTTCGTAAACGGCCCCTCGGGCAAAACAGGAGTCATAACACCTCCTAACAAGAAAATCTCAGTGGAAATAACAAAGGCCAAATCAGTTATTAAGTTCGGAACATCTCGTAAACCCCAGCTTAAATGAAAGTTGTTTAAAAACATTTATCTAACATTTTCGACAGAGGCTCAGTATAAAGATGAGTGAAAATAGTCATTAAATCAACATATTCGATAGAAACTCACTCTAAAGAGAAGTGAAAGTCAATAAGTTCATAATCAGGCCCCTCGGGCAAACGTAACTCATGTGCATGTATATATCTATCGCCCCTCGGGCTAGCCTCTCAGTCACTCGTGACTCAACTCTTACCAATCAGCGCTCTCACTCAGCACTCACACTCAGTAGGTACCATATAGTGACCGCTGTGGCGTGCAGCCCGATCCATATATCTAGTCGACTGCGCTCACTAGGGGTGTGCAGACTCCGGAGGGGCTCCTACAGCCCAAGCGCTATATCGCTGCGGCGTGCAGCCCGATCCATAGATATATAATCCTCACAGCCAGGCCCTCGGCCTCTCTCAGTCATTAACATCACCATCAGACTCTCAGTCTATCTCAGTCATCAACCTCACAATCAGACCCTCGGTCTATCTCAGTCATCAACTCACGATCACTCGGACCATCAGTAAAACAGGGAACTCAGCCCGAACAATTTTCACACTTTTAAGAAAATATAGTGATAAAACCATATTTTTAAACAATAAACAGGTAAAACATGACTGAGGATATGCTATCAAACACATAGGGTGAGGAAAAATAGTAAAAATGCCCCTAAGGGTCTCAACAGGTCGGCACAAGGCCCCAAACATGGCACACAGCCCAAGATATAATATAAGTCTCTAGAACATGGAATATCAAAAGATTTTCAAATCAAGTACGCGACTTAACAGTCGTACGGGAAGGACCAAGTCACAATCCCCAACGGTGCACAACTCCACGCTCGTCATCTAGCGTGTGCGTCACCTCAAAGTAGCACTACGATGTGTAATCCGGGGTTTCAAACCCTCAGGACAGTATTTACAATCATTACTTATCTCGATCCGGTCCAAACTCTAGTCGCGATGCCTCGCCCACACGAATCGACCTCTGGATGCTCCAAATCTAGCCACAATCAGTACATGATCATTAAAATATGCTAAGGGAGCGAAGCCCACTCGAAAATATCCAATTTAACATCAAATCCCGAAATTTGCTCAAACCCGGCCCCCCGGGCCCATGTCTCGGAATCCGATAAAATTAACATCAATGGAATCCTCATCCTCACACGAGTTCATACATACTAAGAACATCAAAATCCATCCACAATTGACCCTTCAAATCCCAAATGTTTTGTCTCCAAATTTCAAGCCCTAGCTCTTCAATTTTAGGCTTAGATTTCATGATTAATTAGGTAGAATTCACACAAGAACCGAGTATTGAGTTCAAAAATCTTACCTCCGGGCGATTCCCCTTGAATCCCTCTTAATTCCTCTTCAAAAAGCTTCAAAATTGACCAACAATGGAGGAACTTAGCCTCAAATTCACGGAAATGAGCTTTTAAAGCATTCTGCCCAGCTCTCATTTTTACTTAATCGCGATCGCGAAGCACAGCCCATAATTCCCTCTACGCGATCGCGTATATCCTCATGTGAACGCGATGCCCAAAATCTTCCAACTACGCGATCACGAATGAGACCACGCGACCGCGATACACAGAAACATAAAACTATGTGATCGCAGCCCTATCTACGCGAATGCGAAGAGCAACCTCGATGCTATCGCGAGCCTCCTCATGCGATCGCGATGAAGAAAAACCTGCAACAGAACTGAAGCCAAAATCTGCAACTTTTAATATACAAAATTTGATCCGTTTAACCACCCGAAACTCACCCGAGGCCTCCGGGACCTCAACCAAAGGCACTAACATATCCCAATATCTTATTCAAACTTGCTCAAATCTTCGGAATACTCAAAACAACATCAGAATATCATATTTGCATCGGATTCAAGCCTAAGAATCCCAAAATCTTCTAGATTACGCTTTTGATCAAAAACCCGACCAAACCACGTCCGAATGACCTGAAATTTTTCACACACATCCCAAATGACACCATGAAGCTACTGCAACTCTCGGAATTTCATTCTGACCACTATATCAAAATCTCACCTATCAACCGGAAAACGCCGAAATCTCAATTTCGCCAATTCAAGCCTAAACCTTCCACGGACTTCCAAAATGCATTCCGATCACGCTCCTAAGTCCCAAATCACCCAAAGGAGCTAACCAAATCATAAAAATTCTAATCCAAGATCAAATACAAACAAGTCAACTCTTGGTCAAACCCTTCAAATTTCAAGCTTCAAACTGACAACTATTCTTCCAAATTCATTCCGATTACCCTGAAAACCAAAACCAGCGATTTACATAAGTCATAATACATCACACGGGGCAAGTCATGTCCGAGAACTGGCGAGCAAGGTGCAAAAGCTCAAAACGACCAGTTGGGTCGTTACAGTAAATGTCAACAAAAAAAAAGAATTTTGCTTTTCTTTAGAAGTACTTTTGTAAATAAATAAAAAGCTCAGAAATTTAAAATATTTTCTTAAAAGTCCCTCTTTCGAAAATTAGGAGGCAACATCTAAAATCCAAAATTATTTTTCTTTCTTCTTTAGAAAAAGAGAAAATAAGTGAAAATTCAAACGAAAATATTTTCCTTTTTCTTTGAAATTCCCAAAGTTCAAATCAAAAGAAAATAAATTTTTTTTAGAAGTCTTTCTTTCAAAAACTAAAAAAAAATCAAAATAAAAAATCAAAAAAAAATTTTACTTTCTTCTTTTAAAGCATTTCATTCGAAAATTCGAAAAAAAAAGAAAAAAAATCAAAACTCAAAAAATGTTTTTCTTTTGCCGTAAAGCTTTCATGGCCTGAGTTTTATAAAAAGTAAACAAAAAAATAGAGTTAGTTTATTTACTCCATTCCCAATCTTCCGGACTACGCAAGATCTGATTCATGCGGGGTCATGATACGTAGGCAATCTCCATCGGATTCGATCATAGCTATAAAATAAAACTGAGTGAAAAATAATTTGAAGAAAGAAGAAAAAAAAGTTGAGTGAAAAAAAAGAAAAAAAAAGCAAAAAAAGAGAGTGACAAAAACAAAACAAAAAAAAGAAAAAGAAAAAAAAGAGTGCCAAAAATAAAGAGCGATAGCAACAAAATGAAAAAAAAATAAGAGTGATTAAAAAAAGGCAGAAATAAAAGAAAAGATGTACATACTGAAAAATGTTAGTTAAGGCCGGGATGAAACATGCAACCGTTCAAACACATGGTGGAAGCGTTTAACTGTTAGGTGCATTGCATCCCAACGTGGGATTTCCTATATGTTAAATGTCTCAAAACTTACAAGATTGTTGGGTGTGCAAACTAGCCAGGTTTTGGTGGTTGGTTTTGTTAGTAGTCTAGCCTCCCCTCCTTCACAAGATCCAAAGGCACAGATGGCCTCCGCAAGCAATCTACCAATTATCAGTCCCGAGGATAGCCCGGCATCGGCTATTCTGCAACTAGAATCAGCAGCTGCTGAAGAGAATATGGTGTTGCATCTCCGCATATTAGAAATGTGGGATGCCTGGTCTAATGGTAGGGAACCGCCAAGTGTAATCCCTGGGTTCCCTGAGTTGATCCCCAGGTCTGGTGAGGTTACCAACGCTCCAGTGCCCAACCCGCTCATTCCATGTGGGCACCCTCCAATGCCCTCCAATGATCCTGGCATGCCTTCTGTGGTTCGCCCCCAGGCACCGGCTTCAACGGCACCGCCTCCAATGTTTATCTTTTAGGGTCAGC